CCATGGTTTAATTCCCATATGTATTTCTCTAACGTGACTACTGTAATATCTTCTAAATAGCTCTCTCTGCCTCCGCTTTTCTTCCATAAAATCCACACTTGACATTGCTGACTCATTCAAATGCTTAAAAGTATATTTTTATGCAGTTAAAAAAGTGTTATGGGGATGGGCTCTGGGATATGGGTTAAGAAACTTGTTGAGAAACTCTCATTCCAAATCAGAGTTCATGCATCCAAATCTTGGCATAATTTCTTTCCATTTTTTAAAAGACACATTTATTTGTTTTTATTTGAAAGTTAAAGAAAAATCTTCCATCACTGGTTAACTCCCCAAATGATTACATCAACCACCCTTGCTAGTGTCTGTTCAAAAGCAGGAATCAGCAGCTTTCTCTGGGTCATCCATCTACGTACAGTAGTCCATGGACTTGGGCCATCTTCCATTGTTTCCCCAGACATGTTAGCAAGGAGCTAGATTGGAAGTGGTGCAACTGGGTCTTTAACCACTTATCATATTGGATGTCAATGCAATAGCCAGAAGTTTAATCTTTCAAGCCACAACTCCAGTCCCCTTATATAATTTTTAAATCCAGCTTCTTGGTAACGTGTACTTTGGGAGGCAGCAGGTATAGATGGATCAAGTTGTCATGTCCCTGCCACCCAAGTGGGAGACCTGAACCAAGTCCCCTATTTCTGGTTCCAGGATGTCCCAGTGCTGACTGAAACTGAAGACATGTGGGGAGTGACCCATCAGCTGAGAGTGGTGTCTGGTTCTTTCTTTCTTTGTGTCTCTCAGCCTGTCAAATTGGCATAGCAAATAAATCAGTACATAAACACTGAAAAATGTTATATTCATTTTACAATTGCTTACTGTCTAATAGTTGGTGACAGATGTTAGTGTAAGTGTTGGGACACAGCACTGATCTTAGGAATAGAACTTTTTGCTCTCAGGAACTTATTGCTTTGTAAAAATCACCACAGCGAACATCAGATACCTTTTTCATTCCAGGAAGTTTAGGAAAATGCATTTATTTAAAAGTTACAGCTTCAGAGAGAGAAGCAGATATCTTTTACCCAGTGGTTCATATCCTAGATGACTGCATTAAACAGGTCTGTGTCATACTGAAGTTAGAAACCAGAAACTCCATTCTGATCTCCCTAGTGGGTGGCAGGGGTCCAACCACTTGGACCATCTTCTTCTGCCTTCCCAGGTGCATTAGAATGGAGCCTGAAAGTGCAAGTTGGGACTCTAACTGGCACTGTAATACGGGATGTTGGCATTGCAACCAGTGGCCTAATTAGCAAAACAACAGGTACATGTGTATGTGTGTGTCTGATACTTATCCATCGTATTTTTTTTTTGCAAATCTTGCATATAATAATGTGTTTATTATTATACAATGGTGGTGTTTCCAATTTTGCTCCAAATCTACTGTGTGTCAGCCCTTCATGTGAAAATTATTATAGAAACTCATGGGGAAGCTGATAAGCTGATGTTGTGCCTTAGGGAACAAACTCAAAAATTTAATCAAGTCCAAAGTCAGTCTCTCTCTCTCTCTCTCTCTCTCTCTCTCTCTCTCTCTCTCACACACACACACACACACACACATACAGATATGATTTGAATCCAGCACTTTCTTTAAGGCCTTGGACATCTTAACAAGTCAAATAGCTTATGAATAAGTAACTAAAACCAACAGCACTGTATTCACCTATTTATAAATTGCCAGCTTTCAGGCTGGTGTTACGGGGCCTGTGACACCAGCATCCTTTATGAGTTCCATTTCAGGTTCTGAGCACTCTGCCTTCAGTCCTGCTCCTTGCTAATGGTCATGGGAAAGCAGTGGAGGATGACCCAAGCGGTTGGCCCCCTGCACCCATGTGGGAGATGTGGAAGAATCTCCTGGCTCCAGCCTGGCTCAGCCCCTGCTGTTGTGGCAATTTGAGGAGTGAACAGATGAATTGAAGATTTGTGTATGTGTGTGTCTTTTCCCTCTCTTGACTCTGCCTTTCCGATAAACAAGTCTTTTTTAAAAGCCCATTTTTCTGTGACTACCGAGTTTTTCTCCTACAGTGCCTTGTGCTCTGGCAGACTCTGAGTGTATATGCTAGGACAGTTTTGATAGTAACCTCTTCAGAAATGGGAGTGCTACCGGCACCTAGTGGTAGAGGTCAGGTGTATCACTTTGGGATCCTGTAACACCATGCCCTATGCGAAGTAATTTCTAAACAGACATGTATTCCTCACAGGTCCAGAGGCTGGAAGTCCAAGATCCAGCATCAGCAAGCTGCGTGTGTGGTGAAGGCTTGCATAGAGAATGAGTACCTTTTAGCCCTGTCCTCTGGTACAAGCAGTCACTAAGCACCTTCTGTCTTCCCTTAAAGAGCAGGAAAAGGCTGTCGGAGGATTAGGTTTCCACGTAGCACTTTTGGGAGACACGTACATAGAGACCACGGTGCGAAGGAACACTTCTCGGTAACAATGATCTGGCCCCTACTAACGCTGATTAGAAAAACCCTGACACATAATAAGATAGTTACAGCCATTAAAGTCAAACAGAGACCTTTATTTTCCTTTATATGGTTTAAAGTCTCCGAGTGAACTTAGCTTCTCAATGAGTGTGTTTTTAAGTATTGAAATCGAGCTAATTTATATTGTAAAGATAGTCTCCCCATCTTCATTTTTTGATTTAAATCAGTAATGGATTTTCAGGGAAGATTGTCTATCAGTGGAATAATTTTTTCAACAAACACATTTCCAAGTTTAAGTACCACTTGATTCAATTGTTTATGGAAACATTAAGTTGGAAATCAAATTGCATGCTTTTATGTCATTTAAAAATACGATTCCTGTTCTGTTTGTAATACATAAAAACAATGCCAAAGGCCGTGGGTGGTGGGCAGTCTGCAAACTGCATTAGTGGCGGTAGTGACGGGGCTGCACTGAATCACTCCCTCTTGCAAGTTGTCATCGGGCGGCTGGGATCAGTTAACTATGACTGTGGAACGCTTGTACTTCGTGGGAGACTAACTGACCTGTAATCGATCCAAATGTGTGATACTGGTCTTGATAGCATCATGTTTTCCTACTCAGTCTCAAGAAATTTTCGGGCTTTTATAATCACACTTCATGGTTTGAAATCCCAAATAGGAATTCATGTGGCAACACGAAAGCCATTTCATTACATTCTTTCCCTTAGCAATTATCCTTGACTGTTCTTTCAGTTAGAAAGGGTTGACCAGGTGTGGCTCTACTGGTCATCAGAGGCCTAGCCTTTGTTTCTGAAGCAGTCCATTTCTCGACTGTCTTCAAAGTCAATACAGTCTTTGTTTCTCACAGATTTGAAAAGCAGAGTCATACACACATTGGCCATAACAAGGGTTCTGGGGTCTGGAGGGAAAAGGGATCTCCAAGGAGCCCACTTCTTGAACTACTGGGTGCATGAGCTGGATGGGAAGTATGGCAGCCAGGACTGAACTCAGGGCGCATATGGAATGCCAGCATCTTAGGCTGTGGCTTAACCAGAGCTGAGTCATGTTGGCCCATAGCTTTCAAAAATTTGAAAGCGACATATGGCCAGTGCCCTGACATACTAGGCTAATCCTCTGCCTGTGGCACTGGCATCCCATATGGATAATGACTCAAATCCTACCCGTTCCACTTTGGATCCAGCTCTTCGTTTATAGCCTAGCAGTGTCGTGGGGGTTGACTTAGGTCTTTGGGTCCCTGCACCCACGTGGGAGACTAGAAGGAAGCTCCTGGCTCCTGGATTCTGATGGCCCTAGCAGTCATTTGCAGAGTGAATCAGCAGATGGAAGAACTCTCTCTCTGTAAATTTGTCTTTCAAATAAAAATAAAGAAAAAAACTTTTAGAAAAAAAAGCATCTTTTAAAGTTGCTGTTTTTTTTTTTTTCTCACTGGAGAGGTTAGAGAGACAGAAATCTTCAGCTCACTTCCTGAACAGCCCTGAGTGGGTGGCAGGAAGCAGAGCTGGGATTTGAACTGAGGTGCCCAGCGCCTGCAGCCAAGGCAGGCTCCCTTACTTATTCCATGCTCTTTGTTCTTCAGTAGTCATTGTCATGAGAAGTAGACAAAATCTTGGCCAGATGACCAAGACGACCTTGGATTCACCACACCCCTGCAGTTTCACAGGAGAATGCTGTAATTTTGAGCCCTTCTGCCCAAGGAACACAGGCAACATTCAACGTGAACGATGACACCTGTAATTAGGAAGACCTATGGTTTTACCATAGTCATTTTAAGGATGAGGTAATTTCAGCAGAGTTGAAAATGAAGCAATTAATTACAAGTTTTCAACCCAGTCCATGTACCTCTTTGTCAAAAACGCCCGATTTGGTCTTCAAGTCTTAAAGGTTTAAGAGTTTGAAGTCTCCATTTCTCCCACTTTTTATGTTAACTTCACAGACTCTTACATCACCTCTCCGGGATCCAAGTGGTTTTATAACAAACGAAGAAAGCCTGTGAAAAGCCAGGGATCTAAGGATTCAGGTTTCACTGGCTCAGGAAAAAAAAAAAAAAAAAAGTAGAAGGGCCGCCGAGATTAGGCAAGGTGGGGAAGGGACATTGGCAGGTAAACGGTTCGGAAAGTTACAACTCGGGTTATTTTTTAACTGACGTCCGACCAGCAAACGGACGCCGCATCGGAGTCTCACTGGCCTCCTTGTTAATCAACTTGAGGTGCCTTCGGATCCCAGAACCCGGCGGCGGTTCAACGACCCCGCCCTCGGGGTCCCCAGGGGCCGCCTTCTGGGGGGGAGCCCAGATTGTCTGCCGCGGCCGAGGCGCAGGCAGAGCCCGGAGCGAGAGGAGGGGCGGGGGACCGCCGGCCCCGAAAGCACACACTTGGCGGCCCGACTCCCCCTGAGTAGAAACTTCCCCGGGCTGGCGAGGAGAGCGGAAGAAGGGGGCGGCGGGAGTCCTCGCGCGAAGGCCGACCACAGCGCGCGCGAGGCACGGGGCGCGCGGCGAGCGCCGCGGCCGCCGCCTCCTCCTCCTCACCCCGCCTCCGCCGCCTGCCTCCTCCTCCCTCCGCCCGGCTCGGCCTCCTCGCTCCCTCCCCTCGTGGTGGCTGGCTCCGGCGGCGGCGGGGAGGGCGTGCGCCGGCCGAGAGGTGTCGGCGGCGAGGCAAGGGAAGTTTCAAGTGGAAGGTCGTCCGCCGCCCGGCGCGTCCTCACGCTCTCCTCAGGCAGCATCATGGCGGAGCCGAGCGGCTCGCCCGTGCACGTCCAGCTTCCCCAGCAGGCGGCTCCGGTGACAGCAGCGGCGGCGGCCGCCCCGGCGGTCGCGACAGCAGCCCCGGCGGCGGCGGCCCCGGCGGCGCCGGCAGCACCAGCGGCCCCAGCCCCGGCCCCGGCCCCGGCTCCGGCCGCGCAGGCCGTCGGCTGGCCCATCTGCAGGGACGCGTACGAGCTGCAGGAGGTTATCGGTCAGTGCGGAGGGCGCGGCGGGGTCGGCCCGGGCCAGGCGCCGGGGCCGGGCGGGAGGCGCGGTCGGGGACTGGAGGGGACCGGAGATGCTGAGCTAGACTGCAAGCACGCCCAGGAGGCAGAGCGGCCGGCTTTGGGGCCTACCGGCTTCAACATTTTTTTTTTTTTTTAATTTGCACATTCTCTGAGAGCTGCGGCTACAGGAGGTGGCGCGGCGGATGTGACTCGCACTGCAGACGAGCCGCATGCTGCAAACTTTTATCTCCGGGATCACCGGGGTGGCAGAGCTGGGGACCGGGCAACGCCACCGCATCTCCCCCACCCTGCGCACAGGGGTTTCAGTGCGTGGCCCGTGGCCACGCGGCTGGGGGTGGGGTTGCGGGGGCGCCGCCCTGGGTTTCCAGCGCCCCCGCACTGCGCCCCGGGAGCCGTGTCCTGGGGGACTCTGCAGGCACAGCCGCGCCTCTAGCCTCCAGTTCTGAGCCTCTCATGGTGGGTAACGGGGCCACGTAGAAGCCGAAGAGGCCCGAGTTTTTCCGGAGGCGGGAGGATGCTGGTCTCCTTGCCTGACAGCCGCTGCTCCACACCCGCTCGCTCTGCAGCCCGGCTCTCTGCGCCGCCCTGCGCGCCCGGGTACCGGCTTCTCTTGGTGCCGGGCGCCGCAGCCTGCCGCCCCGGAGGAGCGGGCACCCCCAAGCCTCTGCCCTGCACCGGGCCGCTGCTGCCCTCTGGTCCAGGGCTCAACTGTGGGATAGAAACTCTAGGCTGCCAGGGCTGAGGTGGGGTGCTAATGTGCTTCTTGGGTTTCGGTACCTCCTGGTCGGATTACAGATATCGCCTTATCCTACATTTTTAAATACCTCGCAAAGGTGAAGGGCAAGGTTCTGGCATTACTTTTCCTCTGGCCAAGCACGTGAAGGGCCCGACCCTGTCGAATCCTGCGGTTGAGTCTCATCACTTAGGCTAGCCTCTTCCTAAGAGTGGGTCCTGGGCTGCTCATCTTTCCTGCCTCGGCTATGTCATCCTCCCTTAAGTACCACTATGAAAAAAAGAGATGTACAATTTTTATCTTGGATGTTTTTTCTTCCCTAGCTTTCGTTTAAAAACAAAATTCTTCTCTAGTCCCCCATTAAAAACAAAAAAAAAAACCTGAAATGTATTTGTGTGTATATGTGTGTGTGCGTGTGTATATAAATTTCCTTAGACATTTTAAATGAGCTGTTATGAAGGTGGATGGAAAGGACCCTCTAAGCATTGTAGATTGAAATGCTTAGCTATGAGAAGATAATTAGGCTGTGACAGCTCCAGGTCATCTATCCTATAGGCAGGGATCTGGATACAACATTCTTTGAAAACCTGGGTCTCTCTTAACTTTTGGCTGCCAGCCTTCAAGTCCTCAGGTCACAGCTTGGATTCCACAGTTTCAGGCCCTTCCAAAGCCTAGTCAGTGACAACTGCTTTAAGTGGGCGTATAAATCTTTCATCCGCATCTATTTGCATCCTCCATATTCTTCCAGCTTTGATTTTCCTCTAAATGCTGTGCTGGCCTCTTACCCACATGGTCTACCTTGTTTGTATGTGTGGGTAAGTTTTATTTCTTTGAGAGTCAGAGCTAGAAGGAAGGAGAGACAGAGAGTAAATCTTCCATCTGTTTGTTCTCTTGCCAGATGGCTGCAGTGGCTGGGGCTGGGCCAGGCTGAGGCCAGAATCAGGAGCTTCGTCTAGGTCTCCCACATGGGTGACAGAGCTCCAACGCTTGGCCTGTGTGCCACTGCTTTTTTGCTAGGCCGTCAACAGGGAGTTGGATCAGAAATGGAGCAGCCGGGACAGGAACTGGTGCCCATATGACATGCTGGTGTTGCAGGTGTGTCACAATGTTGTCCTTATCTCCTGACTCACAGGTTTATGTATAGACTTTTCCCATCTGAGTGACCGTGAAGTAAGTCTCACGTAGCTTCCAAGACCAGGGAGAATGTCTCTTGAGAAGCCTGCTTCTCACCAAGCAAAGTCATTTTGCTCTTTTCTTTATATACCTCACAGCATGGAGCCCAGTGTTCACTTACCAAGATTGGAAGGCCTATTGTGTTCAAAGCATTGTACTTGGTGCTAGCCATAGAAAAAAATTCATGACAGTGATTCCCACTCTAAAAGTTAGCTGAGGTTTTAGAAGGCTTAAGTAAAGGAATATTTTTGGTAAGTTTTTGTTTATTTTAAAATTAGAGTGAGAGGAAGAGAGATTTTTCCATCTGCTGCCTTACTCTCCTTACTCTGGGGGTTCCAGCAGAAACCAGGAGTTAGGGTCTCCTATGTGGATGTCAGGAGCCCAAATGCTGGGGCCATCACCTGCTGCCCTACCACCCAGGGTGTCCGTGGGCAGGATGCCTGTACGTATCCTAGGCATTCCAGTTTGGGATACAGGTGCCCGAAGTGCATAAAGGATGCTCTGAAATGTGGTGAGTGAGAGCTGGGAGAGCCCAGGATAGGCTCTGGCTGCTGGGAGATGTTGGGAAACCCTCACAAGGGCTCACCTCTGAACTCCGTCTTAAGAGAGGCTTGATTTCATTGCCCACTTTGCTAACTTGCTGTCCAAAGTCTTCCATATTGCTCCATCCCTACCAGTACAAGGAGGCCTAACAGTTGAAAATAGGATCTGCCACATCATTGTCCACATCGTAGTCCTTATGTCAGGACTAGAATTGATAGTGACTCGATTTGTGTGCTTATTGTGTTAATGATTAGGTGCACCTTTAAAAATAATAGTTGTGGGCCCTTGCATGATAGCCTAGTGGCTGAATCCTTTCCCTGCATGCGCCAGGATCTCATGTAGGTGCTGGTTCATGTCCTGGCTGCTCCACTTTCCATCTGGCTCCCTGCTTGTAGCCTGGGAGAGCAGTGGACAATGACCCAAAGCCTTGGGCCTCTGCATCCACATGGGAGACCCGGAGGAGGCTTCTGGTTCTTGGCTTTGGATTGGATTGGCTCAGCTCCAGCTGTTGCGGTCCCTTGTGGGTTGGACCAGTGGATGGAAGATCTTTATTTCTCTCTCTCCTTCTCTCTGTAAGTCTGACTTTCCAATAAAAGTAAATGAATGTTTAAACAATTCCATACATTGAAAGCACACTTACAGTTTCATGAAATTTTAGAATATTAAAAAGAAGAAGAAGAGTAGTAGTTGTTGGAGAGAAAGCTGTGACCCACTGTTCATCTCCCCATATGTGTGCATTGGCTGGCGCTGGGCCTGGTGGAAGCCAGCAGGAGGCTGGATACATTCCAGATGTGTCAGGTAAGTGGCAGGAAGAGAATCACTTGAGTCATCCCCAGTGCTTTGCGGTGGTCTGTGTCAGCAGGAAGCTGGAGTTAAGAGTGCAGGCCAGACTTGAACTTGAGGCACTTAGATATGGGCTGCCAGTATCCTAACTTGGGCTTTTAACCACTTGGCTAAATCATGCCTCAAGGTTAATTTAGCCTTTTGAAAAGAATGTACTCTGTATTAATGAGTAGTGATTTTTTTTTTTAAGTTGAAGTGGGCTTTATCTCAGCTTGCATCAACAGCCTTGTGTAATTACAGTGGCTCCATTTAGCCAGGGGGAGGGGGGAGTAAGTTTGAGCAATTTGTGAACAGAACTACCTGTTATTTCTTACCCAGTTTTTTATACATTCATATTGTGGGAAAGGCTTTTCTGCCTTTGAAATGTATCTGATCTTTTCCCAAGTGAGAGACAGGCTGTGTGAGGGATCAGTGTTGCTTGAAAAATCAGATCACAGGGATAGGATTTTGCAGGGACTTACTGTGTATAAGGAGTTATAAACCCTTTTTCATTTAGTGTTACTGCTAGTTGAACAATTAGGAGTGAACTGTGGGCTAGCACTCTTAGATGTTCCACAGAGAAGCGAAGAGCTCAGACATGGAACCAGTTCCAGCATGATTGCCAGTTCCCAGCCTCGCCTGTCCCTGCCACCTTCAGGCAGGTGTCATATGATAGAACTCCGGCAGTGTGAACCGTGACCAGCAGGAGGCTCGGATGTGCCTGAGCAGAAAGCCAAGGGAGGCACCGGGTTTAACCTTCCAGCGTGGCAAGTGGCAGGTTTTTCCCCTCTCTTATTTCCTTTTGAGTGGAGGTTGAGGCCCCGAGATTAAGAGAGAAGAGTTTTTACAAGAATCCAAACAAAGCAGGGTCAGTTGTTTTGATTTCTCTTAGGAAAATAAACACAGGACTTTTCATGTCTAAAAATAAGGTTTTCCCTGTGCTGCGTGGCTCTGGTGCTGGAAAAGATCAATGGAGAGGTTGTAATCCGGGTTTGTGCATGACCTGGGAAGGATGTCAAATCTGTTGGGAGGGAGCTTAGAGCAAGAGGTGAACAGCGTTGTGACATGACAGTTCTCCATCTTGCAGCCCTGCAGATCTTTGTTGTCGTAGACCTCAAGTATTCCTGTCTTGTACCTAGGTAGTCACCCTTTTAAGCCCTTCAGCGCAGTTAATCCCAGTGTCTAACTTCGACTGTCCACCCAGCCCACATTCTTTCTTTAGAAGTATAAGGGGCATTTGAAGCTATGCTAGTTGAAAAATGAGCTTTTCATTTCTTATTTGTAGTTGCTATTAATAGGATCACCTTGATGTGTGTAAAGAATAAGGGAGAAATCTTGTGACTATTGACTTGCACAACTGTAATAGAAGAGAACTTCAATGAACTCCTTTAAGAAGTTGTAGTCTTTACAGTATCAGTTTCTAGGCTTGAAGCAGATCATTCCGGTCCTGCTGTTATCTCTGTTGACTTTGTTCTGAGAAGCATGAAATTTGACTCTTACTTTAGAGTGCTTGATTTTCATACAATTTTTGTGCAACTTTTAAAAACAAACGATGTGTACAGAAAATAGTCTTTTTGTGTTTATTATAGTGAAATATACATTACCACGTACCTTCATGTGGTCTTGATCTGTGTGTAGTTTCTCGATGTTGCTTCACTTTTAGTCCTGGTTGGTCATTTCTGATTTAAAATT